AAAATCATTCATGAAAAAGCCAAATGCTGCCACACAAAGTATATTTAGGTAGATACATACACACATACATATCTATGTATGTATATATGCGCTTTTGTTTAAAGAAAGCACACAAAGCGATAGAGCAAACATGTCTACGAAACCAACGTAAAAGACCATAAAAAAATATTATTGCAAAAAGAGTTGTTCACGCAGCTTTTAGTTGAGTGTGAATGATAAATATAAATATTTTTTTTTACCTTTAATATAAAAAAAAAGTTAACGAACATTATGTAGGACTAAGCCAAAATAAATTGTAAGAAAAGTGAAATACTCGTATGTTAAAAATTACACAATGAAAAGACCCCCGTAGGCTGCTCCCAGTCAGTTACTCCAGGCAGCCAATCAGTCGGTCCGATTCCACTCGCTTGGTAATGGACGTTGGAGTTAATTACCATTTTTCGTAATTGCCAATTCAATTTCTTTGTTGCCGTTGGTGGATGCATATGAAGAAAGCGTACTAACTACCATATACTATGTACATACATACATACATACTCGTACATATGTTTGAGTGTGGGTATTGGTTTATTAGTGAGTTGTCTGCTTAATGTGGTTTTGTATATAGATTTATGGTTGACTGCTTTGACGGTTAGTTTGCAAAACCAACAAACAAGCATACATACGTGTACATACATACATATGTATATAGTGGTAAACCCACGAAGCCATTGTTATATGTGCATATACATATGTATGTATGTTTGCAAGCTTATAACTAGAAGTACTTTTAAAAAATGAAAAAAAAAAAAAATCTGGCGCTGCTGTGCGCCAACATGAAAGGCGGTTGCTCGGTCAGACCGCATTTGGCGCAACATACATTTTTCAGCGTAATAAATCGCATGGAAGTGACGAAAAATTCGGCGGCAACAATAGAGAAGAGGCGAAATAGTAAAGAATTAATAGTATTAAAAAAAATGAAAAATAGAAAAAAAAAAGAATATAAATAAAAAAACAAAAAAATAATAAATAAAAATAAAAAATAAAAAAAACATAAAAAAATGAAAATTTAAAACAATAAAAATTATAATATAAAAAAAAATTTAAATATAAAAAAATTATGATTAAAAGTTATTAAAAAATTAAAAAAAAAATAAAAATAATTAAAAAACAAAACAGAAAATAAAATTAAAAATAATAAATTTAAAAATATACAAATGATAAATTTAAAAAAAAATAAATTAAAAAAATTTAAAAGAAATTTAATAAAATAAAAAAATTTAAAAAAATTAAAAAAAATAAAAATACACAAAAACCAAAGTAATAAAAATGAAATAAAAAATACTAAAAAATTAATAAACAAAAATGAAAATGAAATAAAAAATAATAAAAATTAAATAAACAAAAATGAAAATGAAAAAATAATAAAATAAAAAAATAAAATATAATTAAAATAAAATAAAAAATATTATCAAATTAAATTTAAATTAAAAAAATTACAAGGTTTCTCTCTTAACAACAAAATATAAAATAAAATACATAAAAAAATAAAAGTAAAAAAAAATAAATAAATGTAAAAAAAATAAAAGTAAAAAAAAGAATAAAAATAAAAATACATAAAAATAAGTATAAGTAAAAAAATTAAAGTAACAAAAATAAATAAAATATATAAAAAATAATTGAAAAATTAAAAGAAATATATGAAAGAAATAATAATGATTAAAAAAATATTTAAATAAAAATAAAAAATTTAAAAAGAAATAAAAATTAAAATTAAAGTAAAACTTAAAATGAAAAAAAGAAACAACAACAAAAATAAGAAAGTTAAAAAATTAAAATAATCAAAATAAAAAAATAATAAATAAAATTAATAAAAGATACTGAACTTCAAAAAAGTATATATATAAAAGTTAAAAAATAATTTAAAAAAAAATAAAATAAGAAAGTAATAATAATAAATTTAAAAAAAAAAAATAAAAATAATGACAATAAAAAGAAAGCAAGAAAAAATTAAAAATTATATTAAATAAAAAAAATAAAAATAAAAACAAAAAACTTAAAAATAATATAGAAGTAAAAAAAGTTAAAATAAAAATAACAAAAAAAAAATAATAATAATAAAAATAAAAGTAAATGAATTAAATTAAAAAAAAAAACAATAAAAGCTAAAAATTGTGTCTTTCCATGGAGAAAGCGAAAAAGTTATTAGACTATATTTATGTATGTACATACAAATGCATGATTGGAAAATTTGATATGCCAATTTATTGCCAATAGGGGACAGAAAATTTATTGCTTAAAAAAGGAAAAATTACTTTTGGTGGCTATAAAAAAGTTAAAAAGAAAGTTCTCAAACAAAAGTAACGAAGTGAAGAGAATTTCGAAGATCATGAGATGACCTCTACGTAACAAACTTTTTATAGGCATAGACTTTCTTCAATTCACAATTTTTATTTAACTCAGTGACTGGGGGTTTTATGAGTAGGTATGCAGAAGTGTCCAGTCCCATCATTGCATGCCAAGATATACGTTAAGTATGTACATACATATGGCGGGACCAAGTCTAGATAGGGAGGAGTTGAGTCTACTACAGTAACCAGATCTTAATCGTGCCTCAGGTGTCGTGATTCAGGTCGAGCTCTTAAGGGAGCTTTTGGGTGGAGCACGCAATTCATGGAAAAAAAGTTAATAAAAAATTTATGGTCTCTGCTAATGGCGTTTAAAGCCTATCGGTAAATCGATCCGTCTTCTGTTTCTGTTATGTGGTCGTGGTGCTTAAGTCACTTACTGTTGTGCATAAGCGGTGGTTGAGCAACAACATCTTAGCAGATATTGCTTACGGAAGACTGTGATATGTTCCTTATCTGGAAGCAAGCTGCCGACATCAGAAGATTTCCTGTTATGATTCTGGTAGATTCGTAGATTTGACACAGTTGGAAGTCCGCTGTGGAGTCTGTATAGAGTCGATGTAGTCAAGTACTAACTGGTGTACCTGGGTTGAGGTTAGGCTTAAGTGTCCGTTGGGATGATACGACGTATATTCACATGTGCCACTTTGGAACATATATAATAACCGGACTGGCTGTTTACATGCATAAATAAACACCAATGCAGAAATTTCCGCAACAATTGTAACATAAAATTTCTTGTTTAATTTTCACCTGCTTGCATACCAAATAAGCCCTAATAAACACTTTCGAGTCTTTTATTTCAATAATAGATGTGCACGTGAATGCAATAAAACGACAAACAAAAGGACGCAAAAATATGAATTCATGCTGCTACCACGCTCCATTCAACCCATCTCATGGCACACTGTTACTAATATGCACATATGCATATGTGCAGTAAAAACGTCTGTTAGCTTTTAATAAATTATTAAACTTCTACTTTTGCTTCTGCTTCATTCGCATGAAAATATGCTTGCTTTGTGCACAACCCTCTCAGCTGGAACAGTATACAAAGAATATGCTTGTACGACATTCGTACGCCTACAGTGCCACACAGTGCTGCTTGATGTGCTTGTCCAGTTGCCGTTACTGTGGCTGCTCCCGCTACACCATTCCATGTTAACCGACACCGGCACGTATATCCATGTATGAGTATGCAGTCATTACCATCTCATCGTCGTCGCTATTCAGTGTATGGGCATGACTCACGCGCGCTATAGACAGTACATTGCTCATGTTGCTGCTAAGTTGGCGCAATGAGCACGATAAGTGGTATGAGGCTGAAATGGTAGCGTTGGCGCTGACGACGTCTACACAACGCAGTCGTAGCTGTGGATGACGGAGACGTTTGTATCGACAACGCTGACTGTAAGCGGTGCACCAATGTGTGTATGTATGTATGACTTGATTAGATACGCGCAATTCGACTTTACTTCTCGTCCGACACATCTGCACCCGCTTTAGTCATCTACTGATGGCTCTTTTGACTTTTGTCTTCTTTAACGTTGTGCTCCTATTCGCTTACATGGTGTATAAGTTAATCGCCTTTACTATTTTTATTTTGGAAATAAGTATTTATTTTGTTTTTGTTGCTCCGCAGTGCTGCTGATTGGCCGTTAACGTCGACTGAGTCGAGTGGCATTATTATGGAAAACATAGGGAAATGAAATTTTATACCCAGAATTTATTTTCATTTAGTCAAAGGCTCCTTGTAAAGGGATATGAAATAATTTTGTAATTTGTTTTGTTTTCGTTTTTTTCGATTTCCTTTCTGTTTTCTGTCCTGAATATTGGTTTAATTCATAATGAAACTCCATAAAATGTTTAACCGAAGCAGTACTCACAACGTTGTTAACAAGATAATCATCATTCTCGTGCGAAGTGTAAAATTTAGCAAAGCCGGTTTAGCGATATTTTTGTAAAGTGACTTTTTCAAATAATAGGCATTTAAATTATATACTGGTTATATTAAAAAATGTTAAGATAATTTAGAATCGCCAGCTCTAAAATGGTGTGAAAGAAAATGTAGAAATTAATGATTTAATGAAATCAGAGACGGCGTGATACCTGAAGCAGACAAAGATCTAGACATGTGTTGAACTTTCATTTCAAAACCGTTATTTAACTTCCTTAAATACATCGCTTTCCACTTAAAGTTATACAAATAGTCAAGTTTTTGTTTTTCTTTCATAATTTGTGTGAATTCTGGGTGCAGGCAGGTAAAATTTTATTACGTTGAAATTTACCATCAAATGACCCTACCCTCTTCCAACAAATAGTTCCAATCATTAAGCCACAATCAAACACATCATCATTGTTATGAAATTTCACATTGTGGGGTGGCAACACCCACTAATAAGCCAACCTCCTGCGTTTGTTATGTATCAATAGGTTTGGGGTAGAATAGGTTAAAATATGACGTCATCAGCCTGGGATCGCTGCGGGAGTGGTGGCACTTTGCAAATATTTTGCTAGCAATAAATTACTTTAAATAAATATAACTATATCGTAGATTTGGGTTATTATTCATGTATTAAGGTTTTTTTTCCTGAAAATACAAAATGAACATACCGCAATGGAAATGCAATTCTCTTCAGTGCTGTTTGGAAATTTGACGATGAATTTGGAACCGGCCTTCTCCTCACTGTCATTGAGCGGACGAAAACGACAGACCACTTTGATACTGTCCTCCGCTGGAATCTCACGTTCAGCTGACATTTTGACGCACTACAGCGGTACCGACTGAACCGTTAATATATATTTATATGAATTTTATTCAATCGATGTATCAAATGCCCGATTTTAAAATAACACTTCAAACTAGCACCGCTCTACTAAAGGTTTCTTTCTTATAAATCTACACTACTTCTAAAGTGAAAATTATTCTTGCGTTGAACAATTATTGGCTTTTGATTCTCTTTTGTCTTCTTTTTCCTTGCTTTTCCTGCTTTTTTCCCTCTACTCCACTGGTGTTGCTTTTGACTACTGCAACTGCGACGACGACTCCGACGTTTTCTGCTAGGCAGAGACTGCGACACATGCAATTTCACACGTCAATCACACAACGGAATGGACGCGTTACAATATCTTCACAAAAAAATGCAATTCAAATTAGCAGCGAATCACCTTCAGTCAACGGTTTGAAGGTTTAATGGAAAATTTTTCAAATTTTTTATTTGTTAAAAAATATAAAAATTTTCACTTTGCTCGTCGAACCGAACCGAAACGAACAGCAGCAAACGAGACGACAAATACACACCTCGCAGCGCAATAGAGGAAAATGACAGCATTTGACAGTCCGACAGTCAAGTAGTGTGGACAGATTTTTGCTTTGCAGGTTATAAGAAAAACATCATACAAATTCAATCTTCAAAGTCATAAAACTATAAGAAATTATCAGAATCTTCGCAAACATTTCGAAAAAATGCTTTACATCAAAAAATGTATGGTTTAATAAAACTGAAGGTGGTATTTACGAACGCCATTTATAAATATGGCAGCTCCATGGATTTCTTAAATTTTCTGTCAACCATTCCACACCTTTCGCAATAAAACGTAGCAGTGGTCTCTTTCTTGTAACGGTCAAAAGAAAATCAGCTGTCATAACAGAGTTACCGAAGCGGTATACTTGTACAATTTTGATAATCAATTATTAACTTGAAGCAATAATTGCAAAAGATTAATAACTTGAATACACAAATAAAATTTGTCTTAATAACTGTCGTTAATACTTTTATTGTAAGCCATTTATTTATTAATTATATTCATAAAAATAGTAGATCTGATACTCGGAATCACCCTGTGATGGTTAGATGTTTGATTGAGTGACTAAATTGACAATTCTCCAAAAAATTCCCTCGTTTTGATTATTTTGTGCCGGTGTCAAACTTTGTGAAATACACGTTAAGCGCTATAATTAAAAATTTGCTGTAATTAGAAAAATTTGTTAAAACCATTTTGTAGCGAGATATAGTATCAATGAGTTTCCAAGCACCAACCACAACCACAGCTGTAAGCACCGGTTTCTCCTTTGGTTTGGGAACTGCTGCTGGAGCAGCCAAACCAGCAACTTTTTCATTTGGATCCACCGGAGGTGGTGACGCGGGTACTGTGAAACCTCTAGCGTTTGGTGCACCTACAACAGCTGTAACATCTATGGCTGCACCGACTGCAGTTGGTTTTGGTGGCGGATTTCTCGGTGCCGCTACAACGACTACTGGCACAGCAGCCGCCCAACCTACAGCACCAACAGCGTCGACTGGCTTTTCATTTGGTGCACCAACGGCTAGTGCAACGACTGCTGCACCGACTTCAGCAGCCCCTTCAACAACGGCTGCCACAGCTGCCTTCGGTTTTAGCGCCGCTACTGCTGCAACATCAACAGCTCCAACTGGATTTAACTTTGGCGCGCCGGCAGCTGTGACGGCCACTACGACAATTACAGCTCCTGCCACAGCTGCACCACCAGCATTTGCATTAACAACAGCCAAAACAACTGCAGCACCTTTACCCACACTTGGTGCAATAAATGCGACTACAGCACCAACCACAGGCGGTTTTGCGAATCTCAGTACGGCAACAAAAACAACAGATTCTTCCGCTGTGGCGAATGCTTCACAGCTTTCTTATAATCAATTGGAGGAACATATTAACAAATGGACATTGGAATTGGAGGAACAAGAAAAAGTATTCGCGGATCAAGCAACACATATAAACGCATGGGATAAAATACTTATCAGCAATAATCATAAAATACTAGAGTTAAACGATGCTGTACAAAAGGTCAAATCAGATCAACAAACATTAGAGCAGGAGCTGGAATTCATAGCGACCCAACACAAAGAACTCGAGGAAAGTATTGTGCCACTACAAAAGGAGTTCCAGAAATTGCCACAAGTTGATGTGGAACGTAGTCAGACTTATCTTTTGGTTGAAAACTTAGACACACAGCTTAAGCAGATGTCCGAAGACTTAAAGGAAATCATCGACAATCTAAATGAAGCAGATGAGGGTCTAGACATTACAGATCCCATTTTACAAATCGGTAAAATTTTAAATGCGCATATGAGCTCACTACAATGGATCGAGTCGTCGACAACAAATATTTCTAATAAACTGGATGATATAACAAAAATGCATGAATCGTTTAAACGTGAGTCCGAGCGTTCCTTCCGTTCAGCTTACTACAATTGAACCAGGTTGTGTGGGAGAAATTTTCAGTTTATTTTCAATATACATTTTTTTTTATAAAATACGTTATAACTTTTATTTAATCTTCGCAGAATTTTAAATAAAAAACAATGGTCTTAGTAATATTTGTAGTGTTTAAGTCGTAACAAATTCACAGTTTTATTTATGCTTCCTAAAGCTAAATAAGCACTGTTGGGAGAAAATTCTACAACACCGATTTTTCCAATATCGCCCTTCATTACTGGGAAATTTGCGAAAACTGTGGCACTTGGGAAATGTGCTATCTTTAAGGCAGCTGGCACCTTAACTGAAGTCATAGCTAAAGCTTCGGCAGTATGATTGAATTTTACATCTGAAATGCTTGTACGCAAATTTAGGAAAGCCTTCTCCGGTTTTGGACTGGCAGATAATTGTACTTTTTGGAAGTCATAAACGTTAACCACACCCTCCATGCTACCAGTTGCCAAAAGACGTTGGTCTAATGATAAATCCATTGCACTGCCATTCAAGCAACCATCATCAACAAAACTGTGCGCCAGTCTCCGCTTTGTTAAAGAGAAAATATTCACCTTAGAAGACAATGAATTACATATGATGTTTTTAGAATCTGCTGTAAAGCATATAGATGAAACAGCATCATTTTGTTTGAACGAGTGTATAAGTTCTTGTGAGCACGCATCGAATAAATGCATATTACCAAAAATTCCGGCAACCGCCATATAGCGCCCACATGGCGATATTCTAAAATTTCGCATTGCAGTCACACCTTTCGGCAGTTTATAACGCATTTCACGCGCTGTCAACAGATCATACACATAATAATATCTCTTCGAGGAACCAAAAATGGCCTAAAAAGAGAAACAGATAATAATAAGCGTCGACAATAATTGGTAAACGATAAATATTTACCTTTGTTCCGCACGGTTTTAAGCGTGCGCACAAGATGGGGAATTTTTGAAAATGCATACTATGTAGCTTCTCATTTTTCGCACCATCAATGCTGTAAATCGTAGATATTCCTGTTGTACCTGCAACAAGTGCGGCTGTGCTTTTGGGTATAAATTGTATGCTAGTCACAGACCCTTCGGCGTATGAAGCGCGATTTAAATCTTTCAAACGTTTATATTCCAAATGCGTTGGTCTTAAATTGGTTGTATCTGGCTTAGCTACAAAACCGACTGTTTGTAGAAGCGCTTCGTCCTCTGCATCTTCGTCTTCATTTTTGAAATCTCGCTCTGCCCATTTGGGTTGTGGTACTGTGCGCACATATCGCGTTGTTAGGTATTCTTTATATGCCTTATCTTTTCGTATATGATCTTGTGGTCCAGAGAAACGTGTAGGGCGTTTTACTTCTCCCAGTTTAATATCGGTGTCATCTGTATCCGTCCAAGCAGGTTTACGCTTTCTACTTTCTGTGACAGTATCATCCTCACCATCACTTGCCGCCTCTTTTTCAGATTTTACCTTTTTGTATTCTCCCACAGCTACTGCAAAGTTTTTTAACAATTCTTCCCGATTACCAAATATAACCTTTTCCATAGGTATCTCCAGATCATCTTCTATTTTTGCCACGGCAGTCGGTTCTTTACCATCATCTTTTAGTTTCTCTCGTATTAAATTTTCATACTCCTCCACACAGTCGAGCAGATCCTTTATACTTTCGTTTTCGCTATCACTCATTTTTTTACTTTTAAATGGAAAATTTATTAAGAAACAAAATATTTACGTTTTACTCGAAAATCTGCACGCAAAACATTTGTTTTGGTTTTCTTGACAGCTGAATTATTTGCGGCACACGTGTGTAGAACGTGTGGACTGTGTTCGGTTACAGTGGTGTCCGTAAGATTATTACTAAACCTAATAACATAGGAGGCGGCCGCGGTGACCGAGTGGTTAGCATTGCGTACTGCCATTCGGAAGGCTCGGGTTCAAGTCCTCGTTCGACCAATATCCAAAAGTTATAGAAAATTAATTTAAATAAAAAATTAAGTTAAATTTTTTAATTGCAGTCGCCCCACGGCAAGATTTTTATTTCTGACATGAAATAAAGCTCATCATAGAAAAACCATCAGCCGTTCGGAGGTGGCTTAGTATAAACTGGACCTCGGCCGAAAATCGCTTCAGCGGCTACAAAGCGCCAATTATATTTAATAACATAGGAGCGGAGCTAAGAGATGAAGGCACATATCGCAAAGCTACTGAAACAAAACGCTTCAAAAAAAAATTTAGTTCCATTTAATATTTTTCGTCAAACGCAATAATCATTCCCTTTTCGCTAACAAAAAAAAAAAAGAAATAACTCAACGAAATGAATTGTTTTGTTTCGGCGTCATCTTATCGAAAGGAAGTGAAACTGTTAACGTTGCAACCGCACAAAAGTCATCGTTAACGTTAATTTTAAAACGGCTGCTATGATGTAGCAACGGACTTCTAACGCTTAACATTAAAAAGGAAAGGAAATTTATTTTGATTAGTGCGTCAATGTTAATATTTCCAAATATTTCAACAGAAACGATAGAGAATCTTTCGAATAACATGAAATTTATCGTAACAATGCAGCCCTGATATGAGGTAAATCATGCTTCTGAGTATTCAGTTACATTCGCTAGGCGCACTTGGGTCACAGCTAAAAGAGAGAATGCTTTGATGGAGTCGTTACGACATATTCCGTTTGAGGGTTCATTGAAATCTAATTGGCCGCGTCAATTCTTCAGAGGTGGGACTGCGAGCGAAGTGACGCTGTCGATGGAAAAGAAGTTTCATTGCCCGATTTTGAAGAAGTTGCAGTAGTAGTTACGCGTCTGAAAAACAACAGTGGGGTGACGTTCCAAGGGTTGCCGGCCGAGCTATTCAAAAATGGCAAAGTCCAGCCTCTTTGCATACAATGGTCGAACGAACGAAGGCATGTCTGACGATTGAAACCCAAGTGCGCTCAGCCCAATATACAAAAAGGTGGACCCGCACAGACTAGGCCACTTATCGTGGCCTGATTCTGTAACAGTCAGTCATCTACAATCATTGGTTCCATCGATTTCGTTCGGGTAATTTTGTTGTAAAAGATAATCTATGTAGTAAAACATTGCACAAAAAACAGTTAAAATCCACTTGAAATTCTATCCGTGAATCGCTGCTGAATCGTAACAATGAGAACTTATGATGATGAGAACGATGGTGAGTGCTGATGAAAAATGGAACACTAACAACAACGTAAGAAATTTAGCCGCCTCAAATGGTCTCCAAGATTGATGGCCAGGAAAGCTTTGATCTGTGTTTGGAGGTAGGATTGGCAAGGAATCTACTATGAGTTATAGCCAAACTCTTAGTTCAGAACTGTTCTGCCAACATTTATACTGTCTGAAGGAAGCAATCGCCCAGCTTTGGCCAACAGGAGAGAAATTATGTTGCATCAAGACAATGTCAGACCACACATATATGTGGATAGTTACTCGCCAGATGATCTGAGAGCTTGGTTGGAAGGTTTTTATGCATCCACTTTATAGTTCGGACCTCGCACCTGTCTATGGCGAATAATTTGGCTGGGATAAAATCGACCTCAAGAGACGACTTTGAAAATCAATTGTCCCAATTTGTTTGCCAGTAGGGTATTCTAAACGGCAAAAAGTTATCGAGCAAATATTATTAGACCATATTCACAGTGCAGTACAAAAAATATACTTTCCCCATTTACTTACTTGCGAGCCAATTTTTAGTCAAAAACTCCATTTTTTTATATAACTATTTTATTTATTGTCTACAAAATCTTTCTTAAAAAATACTATGTTTGTTTTGTTCTTTACGAATTCTATTTAAGAGTATATTGAAGTTCTGTACATTTTTGGATTGATTGCATAAATATGAAAAAAAAACGATGAATTTAGAAAATAATTTCGAAATAATAGAAAAAGATAAATGGTTGGGAAAATAGTATTACAAATGGGAAGACAAATGTATATATGTATATGTTGCTGGCATGAATAATAAGTAATATTTACAATATGAAAAGAGAACTGAAAAAACCTCAAAATTCAGCAATTTTAAGTAAATATGGAGTAAAGTAAAGGGAAGTAAATTAATGTAAGTATGAATAAAGAGAAGAAAAAAGGATAAAAATCTCTTTCACCATGCGACAATGTTGATTGATAAAGAAGATAGTTTCTTTCACTTATATATATGTTTATGATTGCACAAATGTATGTTTGTATGTAGTTTTGATTTTTAACTAAAATTTTGGTATACATATATGATAATGTTAGGTAAAATATTGTCACATAACCGGCCAATTTGTTTTAATTTTTATTTTTTTTTTTTTTTTTATGAATATTGCAAACGAAACATATATATATGTATATACATACTTTGTACATGTTTTTTTTTTGTTATATTGTACATGCTATGTACTTTCTCCATTACAATAGGAATTTCATGCATAAGATTAAAAACAAAATCGGATGCGTTGATGAATTGGTAATTGTCGTGTGAACAATTGAATACTTTCCAATATTAAAAAAAAAAAAAATATTTACATATACATATTTGTATAAATTTATAAGTAATTTACGAATATGAATCTATGCATGTACGAAAATAATGTACATATGTATGTATGTGATATGTATGATAAAATAAGTTAATAACTGTAAAACAAATAACAAATAATGATGTAAACAAACATATTTGTATGTATGTATGTATGCAAATAATTGGCTATCAACGAAAACTAAAATAATAATAATAAAAATAATAATGATTTAAAAACAAAAAAAAAAAACGCATCTAATCAACCCAAAAATGATGTACATTTACATTTTATATGCAAATGTATATTATGTATGAACGTGTTTATGTATGTGAATAGTTTGTTTGTATGCTTGAGCGCTTCAAATATTTCCGCTCAATTTCCGTATTTCCGCTCAACACTCACAGTACAGATAATTTTCTATTGAAAAATGCCTGCTTGCATGGGAAAAAGTTTCGTTCTGTAAAATGCAACCCTGCTTTCATTACTTTCATTACATATTTCTTTTGAAACTTATATGCGGTTAATTTTTTTAGGTAATTAAAAACAATTGTTTTTGCTTTCAACTACAATTTAACTCCTTCATGTAGGTTTTGCGCATCGTCATTCATTCTTACGACGTCGATGCTGTACTTCCCATAGGCTGGGGTGCACGTGGACGTATCATCATAGTTGCCTTTTTGAGTGTGTAATCCCAACCGCGCCAGCGGAACCAAACGATACCTTGGCGAGCCGTTAAATCTTGTGGATCGTGGAGGTATAGACCATTCAAACCACGTCCGCAAGACTTCCACCACCAACCACCCTGAGAAAAATAAATAAATTAAAGAAAAAATTCTGAAAAATGTTAAAGTTGAATCCTTACCTTGAGCATACTAGCGCAATTTAGCGAGCTACGATCATTGTCTCTATTGTATGTAGAGAATGGACTATTATTCGAACCGTACCAGGGATCATTAAGTGAATCGCCCGCATTACCCTCATAACCGTCGATTTCCAATTTATAATAATCAGCTTCGGAGTGAATTTTAAAGTGCGAATATTGTGCATATCTAATGGAAAACAAAAATAACGGATCATGTAAAATTCTTTGACTTAAGTTTATGCTAGACCATACCTCTTGTTTCCTTCAAAATCTTCGAGCTCAACACGTAGCGCATAGTCCTCATTGTTGGTGAGCATGTAAATATTTTCATTACCTAACCAAAATTCCTTTGCCGGATCACCGAAACCATTCTTATAATCAGCCCAGTCTCGATTGAAGTTCTCGCGTGGCTCACCGAAATCATCACGTCTTTGTATCACCTATGATTTAGCATAAGAAATCTGTTCTAAATATTTATTTTAAATTACAAGAAGTGCAAAACTTACCGTCCAGCCGCCGTCAGTAATTTCTTGCTCGCAAAAGACCTTTAAGAACCAATAGGTGGTGCCGCGAATTTGTAGATAGAACACGCCAGATTGTCTCATGCCAGCATTCAAGAGGTCGACACAAGAGAAACCCTAAAAAATTTAATTGGTTAGTAACTGGTAGAATGTGGTGATACTTTGCTTAATACTAATTTTTTTTCTTAATTTAATTGCAAATTGACTTCTTTTACTCGCACAAATGAGTTTTTGCGATAACAGTTCATCACGTGTAAGGTATGTCTTTATTTCTATTAAGAGCTACCCTAAGCCATCTTTTGTATTTTATCTCCCCATCTGGCAGCACGCACATCAGTTGTTAATTTTTGCTTATCAGTTGCTACTTTGCTATTTGTTTGGAAGTTTTTGAGAACAACACAAACAGGAAAGTGTATAGTTTGAATAAGTGGTGCAATGTTGTGGTATATGTTTTTTTTACCAGCAATATTAACAATATTTTCTACTGCAAATGCTCTTGATGAGAGTCGCATAGTCGATGCAGAAAAATCCTTGGTTTGGGGTCCCGGCTTGAAGCCGGATGAAGTTGTCCTACCAGCACGTTACTTCTTCATACATGCTGTGGATAAAAACGGCCGCAAGTGTGTTTGCAAATTAGCATAATTAGTGAAAGTTTGAGGTGTGTTAGCAAATAAAATTTCTCTTCTTATCTCTTGCAGCTTTGAGAAGTCACCTCCGCAAGATTTCCAAGTGCAAGTTAAGGGCAATTCACCACATGGCAAATGTCGTTCAAATGTAAATCTTATCGATCGCGGTGATGGCTCTGCTATTGTGCGTTACACTATTGCCGATTGGTGTGACCAAGTGGAGTTGGAAGTGCGTTATAATGGTTCGCATGTAGCACACTCACCATATGTTATTTACAACAAAGTTTACTCTGAACGTTGTTATTGTCCGCAAGATTTAAATCTTTGGATGTTGCACAATAGCTGTCCGTCGCCTTTGGATGACAAACAAATCGCCTGGGATTTGCATTCATTTAAACGTGTAAACTTTAGCGCCATACGTGAGAATCTGTTGCGTCGCTACAATACACCAGAGAGTGTTTCATTATGCCATTATGTAGTGAAGCAACAACAAATATGGCGTCAATGTTACGGCAAATATACTGGCTTCAAAATGTTCATGGACGCTACACTATTGGCATTGGGGCGTGTCGTTTTACTGCCGGATATGGAATTCTATTTGAATTTGGGCGATTGGCCACTATCGAAAAAGGGTGGTCAACAACGTACATCTGGACCATATCCAATATTTTCTTGGTGCGGTAGTGATGATTCTTATGATATAGTGCTACCCACATACGATATAACCGAATCGACAATAGAGAATATGGGACGTGTCACCTTGGATATGTTGTCTGTGCAGAAAAGCGAATATCCTTGGGATATAAAAGAGCCCAAAGCCTTCTGGCGTGGCAGAGATTCACGGCGTGAGCGATTGGAATTAATCGAGTTGGCACGTAAATATCCAGAATGGATAAATGCATCACTAACGAATTTCTTCTTCTTTCGCAACGAAGAAGATAAATATGGACCAAAAGTGCCGCATATATCATTTTTGGAGTTCTTTAGGGTAAGTACATGGCTTCAATATATATATATTGACCTGACTTTTAATTTGGTATACACTATTTTCAGTACAAATATCAGTTAAATGTCGATGGTGTTGTAGCCGCATATCGCTTTCCATATTTGCTTGCCGGTGGTTCTTTGGTTTTTAAGCAGGATTCTGGTTTTTATGAACATTTTTATAGCAAATTAACGCCTTTTAAACACTATGTGCCATTCAAACGTGATTTAAGCGATTTAATTGAACGTTTGGAGTGGGCAAAAGAAAATGAAGATCGTGCACGTGAAATTGTGGCTGAGGCACGAAAATTTGTAGAAGCGAATCTAATGCCACAAAATATTTATTGCTATCATATGGCTTTGTTTAAGGTAAGTGGGTTGTGATTGCTTTTATTTTTTTTTTTTTATAATTTTACAAGAATTCTATATGTAGCGAAGCGATTTTCGGCTGATTTGTTTTATTTTAAGAATTACTCCACCCAATTTTTGCCACTCTAACTACTGTCAAAACAAATTTTAACTCTTTTAGGAATGGAGCACGCGCCTAGTCTCACCTATAACAGTGCTGCCTGGTATGGAGAAGGTCGAACAGGTCTACACTTGTTCTTGCAAAGAGCTGCCTTATCGTAGAGATGAGCTGTAGATGATCTTGAAGGAGATACCTTCTATCTTATATTTCCTAATATATGTATTTCTTTCATGCTTTCGTAATCATTATCTTATGCGTTCATTACAAAATGTCAGTCGCTTGTATTCCCGTTCCCTATTCCCTCCCATCAGTTTTAAGATTTATTTCCTACACATTCTTCTGAAATATGTACAACAGTTTAATGTAGCTTTTAAGCTATACTTTTATGGCTTATATCGATAGTTCAAACAGTTCTATTATTATTCCATTTTTTTGCCATCTATATAAGTTAGACAAGCATAGAAAGGTTAAGTGTTTGTATTGCCATTTTTTACAAATTTTATACTCTTTTAATTTTTTTTTTTTTTTTTAACGGATGTAAAAGATATCAGTCCGATTTGTACTTAAACTGCGCAAAATAATAATTTTAGTAAATCAAAAGTATATACATATGAATATGAAATGTATTAGCAAAATTTTATAACGTCTGGAGTGTACTAAAATTAACAAAAAAAATAAGAAAAAATATTAGCAAATTCACAAAAATTATAATAAATAAATGTATGTATGCATATGTGTCAGAGTAGTTTGGTGAATATTTTTCTGCAGGACAGGACCAATTATTGGGACTGTCATACATCTCAGAGTGACCAGAAACGTCAATTTTTTTATGATCCAAGCAGCTCACGACTTCCGGTTTAGGTCGAGATCGTCTGGATAGGCAACAAATATCCGTTTGGAAAGTCAGAAGTGCTTAGGGCTTAGAACCCACCACGTTAAAAATATGCAGCTGAAAGAAATAAGTCTTGGATGAGAGACCCCCTTTGATAACGATGCCTGGTAAGATTTAAGGATTACGATTGAAGGGCATGCGAATGACCGGTATATTTATTGGGAAGTTGTCGCAGTCCAACTATTTGATGCCCTTCTGAGACTAAAAGCTGAATTGCGATGGACGGTAAAAGGACGAAAAGAAGTAGGGCCTTGTGTCATGTACTACAACAGCGAACTTAGTATCGGATTCGTAGTGGAAGAGGGGCTCAGCAAAGCGCAACGGAAGGAAGATAAGGACAATATAACCAAAAATACTTTTTATGAGCATCTAGATCGTTCTTATGAGTCCACGCCAGGTTGCTCAAAGAAAGTATCTTTGACAAATAGTAGCGAAACTCCGATTCCACGTCTATTGAGATGTCAGCCTGGCTAACAGAATAAACTGTAATAAGTTGGATTAAAGTATTAGTAATAAGCAACCATGAAGCGGCTGCCTTTATCGCGGCTAGTTCCGCTTGAAATACGCTGCAATGGGCGGGAAGTCTTCTACTTAATTCTATAGCAGGAGGTTCAGAGTAAATGCCACAACCTACCTAGGACTTAGGTCCTTCCGCTTAATTTTTTTCAGATTCTTCCTATAAGTAGCCTTATCTAGTGCAGGCCACCAGACAGTGACTCAGTAGAATAATATGGGTCTTATTAGCGCTTTGGATAGACAGCAAGCAATATGTGATCCTAGTTTCTATCTCCACCCGTTTCTACCGTGTTTCTGTTCTTGGCGAGCCTGCTACCTAAGATTATGCTTAGGTATTTAACCTAAGTAGAAAGTGCGATCTCGATGCTTTTCAGTTAGGGCTGAACGGTCTAGATTTTTATCCGGCCAAGGACTGTCACTCCCTAATACTTTGGGAAGATTACAACAACTACAACAATAGTGAGAAGTCTCCTCGTGGGGTGTTTTAGCGAAAATTACTCTGTAGGTTAAGAGAGATTTCCCGACATTAACTACCTACGCCCCGATACCCATTTACTGGAGTCCAGACGTATCTATCACTGGTAAGACATTGTTAATGGCCTCATCGATGTCGAGAAATTCGCCCAAAGTGTACTCTTTGAGGGCGAGATCTCCCTCAGTCCTAGAGACAATATCGTGAAAAGCGGTGTCTACAGATTTGTCTTTATAGTGGGTGTGCTAGTTTCCCAGTAGGTTTCTTTTGAATTTGTATGACTTCTCCTGCCTTTCTTTGGTAAGAAGATTACTCCCGCTTTGGTCTACACATGAGGGATTTGCCCCTTGAATAGACAGGCTGAGTAAATACTGCCTGTAACACGGCGGGGAAACATTTACTTTGCTCGACAATAATTATCAGATTCAAGTTTGGGTTGTGAACATTTGCGAAATATTGTTTAGTATCACTTTGGGTGTAGATTCGCCAATTTTCTGTATTTCAACTTACTTTTATATCCTTCAGTGCGAGTATGTCAGTGGAGAATGTCGAATTCACCACCGAAGGCTTATTCTTGACACTCGGGAATATAATGCCACCTTTGCGTGAGAGCGGCTTGGCTGAGGTTGATGTCGTAGTAGCTGCGGAAGAAGCGGACGCTGATATAGTAGCAGCCGATACACCCACACTACCAGCTGAACTTGCAGCGGCCACTTGTGCCGCGGTAACCGTATACGAGGTTAGAGTAGGTTGACTGGCAGCACCTACAGAAGGACTGGGTGTAGTTGTCGCAGCGTTGGTGTAAGCGCTCAACGAGGCTGTCGTCGCGGCCACTGTAGGTGGTGGCGTAGTAGAGCTGGCCGTTGAGCTGGAGCCAATCGGTGTGGTAGGCATATTTGCCTCAGGATACTCATCGATAACGGAGTAACTGCCGGGAAGAAAATTTGTAATAAAAAATTTTTATAACAAAAAGTTAAAATAAAACCCTTAAAACCAATAAATACTAACCGATTGGGATCGTATTCGACAAGTCGATCGATAGTTGGATCCATTAGTAGTTCAGCCGGTACGGGTCGTTGTGCCAATAGCTGCACATCATCCTCCTGTTTCTTCAAACGTTTCTCGACCATATCCAAATTGTTTATTATAAGATTCGTCTTCGAATTCAAGTCGTGATGTATTTCACCGATAGCGCGCTCCTGTCGCTGTGTCTGTGTGAGTAGCGCATCTGATTTGGGTAGCAAATCATTTATAACAGACGACTTCGTGCCCACTACCACATCCCACACCTCATCCATTTTCTCCGAGACAGAGACCATCGGTCGTATTTGCTTAACGAGCGCATCAATTTTACTCGATTTTATTATGGGCATTGCTGTTGTTGTCGCATTCAAGGCATTCAATTGCTCTTGATGATCAACAACCGCCTCGTGTATATCGCCCACCATGCGCAACATGCGTCCCACATTCTCCGACACGATATTTATATGGAATTGCAACTTCTTATCGATATTATCGGTTGTGTCGCGCAATTCATTCAACTCGGTCGACACATGATTCATTACCTCGGCGTTCATCGCTTTCGTTATCTCCACAACATTCATGCTAATCGGTTTCTTCTCGCTCGCCTCGGCATTTATGTCGTCCACTTGCAGAAAGTTATTATCGATTTGTGTTTTGAGCACCTCAAGCTTGGTATCGATGTCACTAACTTTCTGATCGAGCATCAGTAGACGGTTGTCGAGATGCTCTGCGGTGGCCATATTGGCTATACGCGCTGAGCGACCACCGCCGTTGCTGCCATCATGTGCTGAGCCGTGTATATCGTTGGTGATTTTATTATCCAAAGTGCGTAGCTTGGAGATGACGGCATCGGTTTTAAGTAAATTGTCCGCTACACGATTATCCAACGCTTCCATGCGCTTCACCATGTGCTCGACGGACTTGTCGAGGCTATCGATGCGCTTTAGCTTGCCTTCGAGGGTTGAGATTATCACCTCAAAGATGTTGAGTAGCTGTTGTTCTCTGTGGGAATAAAAGGGGTATTGAGTTAGTCCTTGCATACCACATGGAATAGTCAAAATAATAAACCAAAAATATTTTCAAATTATTAAAACTACAATATGGGATTTGAGGTAGTACCAAGGGGTACAGAGGCTCTGCATCACACAAAGTACGAGGGTGGCGGTAGGAGTTACCAATTAGGACAGACGATTGCACAAGCTGGAATAAAGTCAACGCATTTCGGGTCGACCCTTCTCTTTAGCTTATTTGAAAGCATAAAAAACTTTAAAAGTTCTTAGGAGGAGGAAATCCCAGAGAGTTTGAAACCACTCTTAGCAGCGATCTGCAATAAATCATTTGTTGGTAGTTTTTGGAAGGCACTGCAGCTACTACTACGACTTTAGGTTAGGTTAGACGTGACTATTGATGATCAGTACATTTAATTTAGGGCAGGCCCAATGTCATACCAAGATATTGATCCAGATATTTCGTTTCCCCCTCGATTCTTTTGTAAGCTTTATTAGTTTATCTACCTTGAAGTCTGTTATGATAGATAATTAATCAAGAAACGTAGCTTCTACAGATTGGGGCTTAGCTCTAGCAGAGACATTTCGGTTTCATTCAAAATAAAATATCGTTTCATCCTCCTCATCGTTCTTACGGCTTCTCATGCAGTTTCTAAAAGTAAGTTTCCACCTCTCTGCGTTTTATTCCTTTAGGAAGTGGTCTGCTAGGACTCTTACTACCCACGAGATGTCATCCATTCTTAGATTTGCTGCGGGTTTGTCTGCCATGCAGTTTGACTCCACGTCCTTGTGGCTAAGGAAGTAAATGAGATAGAGACTAGTCAAGTTGGTCATCTATTGCAGAGATGGTGAACTATCGACCACATTTATGGAGTTTTCTAATTTTCTATGAGCGAGTCAAGTGTTTTAAGCGCTGCTTGAGTGTCGCTGATAGTCTTGTCTTGAAACCCTCGTTTCATTTCTTATTTTGAAGTAATTAGGTCTGCTAAGAAGAGATCTGTGCTGCTTGGGATGAAAGTGTGTGTTTGGAGTATCCTAATTATTTTTAGCTCCACTCAACTAATGCTCTTAGGCGAAGGGCAAGTCGTGCTGCTGTGTTCTGTCTGCTAACTTGCTAAGACTAGCGATAGGTTGTTGAGGATTATATTTAAGTTATGTTGTTGTTGTATTGGTTCGCTAACCCCGCTTAGGTACAGGATTAATCAATCGAAGTCGCCGAGGTCGTCCGGTGAGAGGTCAAGGAAACGTGCTGTTTCGACGGTATTCTCAGGACAGCCCGTTCTACGACAGCCCGTTCAAGTCAGTCAAGAGCTGTCATACTTTCTGCAACCTAACTCCGTTTAGGTCAAAAGGTAAAATTAATATTTAAGGCTTCGCTCGGAGTGGTTCAGTTTTCTTGTCTATAATTTTAGATTGTTCCCCGGGCTTAGCTAATAACTCAACAAAAAGAAGGAGGAGCAAATTAAATTAATTTTCTATAATTTTTGGAAGTTGTTCCCACCGGAACTCGATCCAGACCATCCGAATGTCAGTACGCAATGCTTAACGCTCGGCTCCTCGGCTCCTCGGCTAAAGCGCCAAGTATTCTGAGTTCAGCGGCTCAACACGAGATGAAAATAAGTGAGATGGATCTTTCCCATCAAAGTCTGGGAAATTTTTACTGGGAAAATTTAAACGTTTATTTATGGTTCGATTTGCTTCACGCTTCGGTAAATGGATGGCATTTTGCTTAGATTGACAGGGACACTAATCTTCTCTCCGAGAAGTGCACTAGGGGCTGACAAGCAAGCGCTCAACTTGAGCGTGAATAAGCATAGATCCGAATAGGGCTTCTTCTAAGCATTCAGCATTGAAACTTCCATGAAAGACTTGGACCTTCTTCTAAACGCTCATATTGAGATTTTCGTGAAAAGCTTTGAACAGCGACAATGTGACCCACAAATACAATTATGCAGTTTGATCCTCCATCTATGGTACAGTTTTTATCGCCTCTAAAGGGATTTACGCATCGCTAACCGAAGGGAATATAGAGTCTCCTATCCCGTGTAGAGAATATAAGCTAAAATTGGTTGAGCAGCAATGAAAATTTTTGCAATTTATAGCCATTGATATCTCGACTTTATATTGTCTTACAATAAACACTTTTAGGCTCCTTTCACTCATCGTTAATGCTTATACAGTTGGTGTGTTCAGTGGTCTGACTATTTATTTTTCTTGGCTTGACCACCTCGGTCTAATCACCACTCGATTTTCAATTATTTTTTTAATAATTCTAGTTTTTGTATTCAGCCATTCGACTTGTTTCTATCGATTAATTTGCAATTTATTGCTATTTATTATTCATATATATTGTACATACATAAATATTTATTTTAATTTTTATTGCACACCCTAACAAGTGCGTAACGCACTAAATTCTATAATTAATATTTTACGCACAAAAAAAAATAATAGAAAATAAATCATAAACCATCAAAATTTATTAAAATTACCCAATTACTTTACGCTCTAATATCCTCAGGCACACTACATACACAATATACATGCATACATATATATTTTTGCACATTGAGCTGCTCTCTGTGCTCTGCTGCAGGCAAAAAGTTCACCTAAAATAGACCGTAATAATTTAAGCATAAAAAATAGACGATTAAGCTAGGAATAATAAAAACTGGCTTAGTTGTCAGGTGACCATTCTAAATTATAGGCATTCTGTTGTTTTTGTGTCCAGTTTGTAAGCGTTTATTTTTTATGGCACTTAATTATGGGTTCTTTGTTGGCAATTAATATTTTTCATTTTTCAATTTTTATATATATTTTTTTTTGTTTTTGGTATTTTCATGTGCTGCCTTTGCTGCTGTGTTGGCATATCTGTATGCATTTATTTGAAAAGAGAGTTAGTACTTCATTTCATATCTTGCCTGGAGCAAATGTGACATTTTAAAATTAAAATTGGAGTGGAAAATAATACGCTCCGTTTTAGTGGTACAAGAAGTGTTTTATTTTTCTTATTGAAAAAAGTAAAAATTTTATTATTCAATTCCTCTTGTAATTTTCGAATACCATAAATGACCTCGATCCAATCAATGAGATATACTATGATTTTTGCCAAAGATCCGAAATTGTTTAGCATCCATCGAAGAAGCTAGTAAAATCTGGAGAAATAAGCGGTTGCAGTAAGACCTCCCAGTTCAGCGTTTCCAGGTTGTTTTGGGCCGTTACAGCTGCCTGGAGCCGAGCGTTGTGATGTTTGAAAAATCGCCTTTCTGGTTACTTTTGCACAATTCACGTCTCAAACGCAGTTGATTTTGTTTTGCATCAATGGTTTTGTCTGTTTTTTGCAGCCCATAGTACACCACACCAGCCGTCGGGCTACACCATACTCTTATATAGAGCGTAACTCTTTAACCGGATGGTTTGCTCTGGCGTTGATGTATCGTTCGTCGGGCTTGAGACCGTATTTTCTTCATTTTTGGGATTATTGTAATGTGACCACGAATTTAATCTCCAGTCTTAGCCCAGTGTGAAAATCCCTTCTTTTCATGTCTTTCAAGCAGCAACTCCGAGGTAAATGCTTGCCTTTCCAAATTTCTCAACTTCAACGTATACGACATCTAATTTGCTTGCCTTTGAATAAATCCAAATCGCTTTAACCACACGGAAATGTTTGTTGCGTCACTCGCAACGAGTAGCGCCAATATAAAGTTTGGCTATAATTGCTTGAGAAGTTTCAACGCAAGTTAAGAATGAAATAGCCTGCCAAATTTTCTATTCCTTAAAAGTTATCCACTTTTTTTTTTGCATGCAACGTTGTTGTATCGGCCAAGTTTATTTTGATTCGAGACAAATCACACCATCTTCATTGATCCGGCTTGTAAGTAATCTGTAGTAAAAAGCTTTTCAAGAATCTGGTGAATTGTGCCTTTATTTAACGACGAACCCAGCGTTACCCACCGCCCTTCAAACAGACCGAGGGGTGGGTGGCAGAAAACCAATAACAGTCCGGACTGCCCTGAACCCGAAACCGATCGCGGAAGGTTGCGGTTACACTTGCCAATTACACCTACAGGCTTGTTCATTAGCTGCTATAAAATTACATGGGAAAAAGAAGAGAGTTTTCTTAATTATTTAAAGCACTCGGTGAGTAAGTTTTGATACAGGGGAATCAATGTTGACGAAATGTGTATTTGCTCTGTTTAATCATTTCTCACATTTTGCTCATAGAGGCTGAAAAACTAACTTGCTTGTACCTTTATGAGCGCACAATTTGGCTCCAAACGAAAGACTTAAGCAACAAACCTGATTGCAATTATTCATTGATTCTCATGTTTTCATGCAATTTTAAAATGTTCCAAGAAAAAAATGAAAAGAGAAAAGGCGTTCTTGATCCTCGTAAATTATTCGGCATATTTTGAAAAGCCACCTTGTAAAGCAACGTTCCTTCAGGATGCTATTTACCTTTGAAATTCCTCTCGACTTGTGCAGGGTTAAGTTTTGTTTAAGTTAGGCGGCGTTGAATTTCTATGTATGATATTAGCAGCAGCTTGCATATAGCTGGAATCTTCTAAGTTTTTCCTTGCTTAGTAAGTTGTTCGTCTGATCTGCATTTTCTTCTCTGTTTCTGAGTCCAGAGAGGCAAACCACCCGAGCTAATCGATCCGAGCAGCTTTTATTGCTGCCACATTGCCACTGAGAATCAAGCTCTCAACTATTTGTACATCTTTTAAGTTCTCGGTTGAGATGTAATATTTTAAGAACTCATTATTACCAATTTGAGGGGTAAAGACACTCTAAGATTTTAAAAATTTAAATTTCTTTTGGTTTTCTGACAGAGTATCTACCTTTGGGTCCTAAAAATGATATGCAATCGGTTTTAAAATGAAAAAATTATTTCAAATAGCTGAAGTTTTTATTTTGCCGCAGCCCCTCAGAGCGTGCGCTGAGTACAATGGAAACTTCAAGCGCGCTTTCCTCACACGTTTTATTGTTATATTT